TAGTTATCAAAAATCGTAAAAGCGGTTGTAGTCCCTTTAAAAAAACTCATTATTATCATTATCGATTTCTTTTCGCATTAAAATGGGTCGCGGAGATAGATATGTGCCCGCGGCCGGCCGGGTGGCTCACATCAGCCAGAGGCGGCCGGGTACGAGTCGGCTCACATGAGCCTTGGGGTGCGGACCGCAGACACCGCAGACACCCCGCCGACTGATTATAATCATACTGCTGCATCGGCTCCATCATCGGCCGCCGGCCCGCACAGTATAGTGTAGTTCGGTCCACGGGAGGCTGGGGGGGTCTATTAGGGTTGGAAATTCCCGAAAAAATAAGGGAACTTTGAGTGGGAAGCCCTGGAAAGTTTCCGGAAAATTTCAGGAAAAAAACCGGAAAATGTTCGGAGGAAAAGGAAAAATTTCCAAGACTTCGGAAGTTTTCTGTTATTTTCCAGAAATGTTGAGAATTTTTCGAAAATTTTCCGGAAAATTTTGGTAATTTTCAACTTTACGGAAACTTTCCAGGACTTCGGGTTTACATCTTGGAATGGCGAGAAATAACACGGCACCCCACAGAAATGCACGCACGCATGCGTAATGTACACACATGAGAGTGTGGCCTCCGATGATCCGTGCCGAAGTCGAGGTCGACACTTTTATCGCCTGGCCAGGCCAGCGTGTACGCGTGTATGCAAACAGAGGGGCGTTTCGGACTGTCTGTGTTTTTTTTGTATGTTTTTTCACGGCATATCCTGGAATTCTTACTGAACTTTTTTTCACTATCCAGGCTTGGCATTCGGACATTTTAAAATGTCTGAGTAAAAAGCTAACGAACAATTGGTTCGTAATCCAACGCTTTAAAATCCTTCGTAAGCGACGAAGGTTTTAGTTTGCATTACGAACCAATTGTTCGTATGCAATTTACAATGTACTTTCTGGACAATCACTGAATGAAAGATCCCGCGTGCCCTATAATGTGTCAAAAGAAATAAAAATTGTCGAAAAGAGAATTCAATGGGAACACAATGATTGTTTCTAGTTTTTCAAAGTGTCAGAGAGACGGCTCATGATCAGTGTCGCTTGAGGAGGTGAGTGCCAGCCTTTGGCTCTCGTCCGGCCGCATCAGCGCCTGCCGGTGCAGCACCGAAGGAAGGCCGGTGGGCGGGCAGCGCGCGCCACGCCCCGCCACCCGCCAGCATGCCCACCGTAAGTCCAAGGTGGTCCAGCGCCTGGTCGCCACCGCCGCTTCCGCGTCCCTCAGGGCGGGAGACGCACGCATGCACGCACGCACTAACAAACGCACACTCGCACACAGATTGGGCATGCAATCCAAAATTTCCCAGAAAATATTCCAGAAACAAATCGAAAAAGTATTGGAAAAATTTAGATTTTTCGTGATTTTTTTTTAGTTTTTTTAATCTTCAATTTTTTCAAAAAAAAAAAAAGAAAAAAACACATACTGTCTTGGACAATTAAAATTGCCAGGTCGGTCGCACCAGCGCAGCTCCGGTGAACCCCTCCGCCTTGCACTCCGCTCCGCCGCGGGCCGATTTTATTTGGAATCCAGCGGGTGCGCGGGGCCGGTGCACGCCGGTGCAGTAACCTCTCCGGTCAACGTCCTCGTCGCCCTGC